TAAGCAGATGTCCAGAGCTCTCACTTCTTCTACACCTCCTCCCGCTCACCTGTGTTCGTTTCTCTGTGGCATTGGTACATGGCTTTGTTTATTTGTTTGTTATTTTGAAAATAGTTTCAGTGTCTCTCTGAATAGAGAAGAATCCTGGGTTACAACCCAGGACATAGTTGCAGCCACCTGGCATGAGTTTTCTTCAAGCGACTCTCCGGATTCAAGGAAGACCTCCTGCAACAATTACTTCCCAGCAGAAATGGATATCTTGTAGGTTTCCACTCTTCCTGCTGAAACCTGCCAGAAATTCACCGAATTGCCAGACAAAGACCCAGAGGCTGAGATCTTATGTTTTCCCTCTTTTCCGCTCATTATTTTGAAGGTCTTGGACATAAGCTTTTGAGACACAGGAGGTCAGGCATTTGATACTTAATACACACATCAGATAAATCTGATCAAATGAAGAACTTGGAAGAGAATGCCTTCAGTCTGTGGCATGGGTACTTTGGGGCACAGAGCCCTCATTTCTCACATAGGGGTTTATTGAGCATCTTCTAGTCAGCAGCAAAAACAAGTTTAAAAAAACACTTTAGGAAATTATTCTCGTGAAAGCAGTGCCCCCAATGAGTCTGCACAAATAAGGCGGTTCCACAACAGGCTTGTGTTCGTCTGTGTCCAAAGTGCTCATTCCGGTGGCTTCGCGGCATCGCTGATGCCTGAAATGTGTCCGGGGCCTTCCTGTTCCTCTCTCTACACCCAGGCATTTTATTTCTGGGAATGTAGCCTAATGGGGAACATGAGGAGTGATGCTTCAAAGTGATCGTGCTAACGTGGACTTACGTGGGAAAGAAAGTATTCCGTGAAGACATCAGTGTAGCAAACACAACACAGCACGTGCAGAGAGCGGGGGAATGGACTTAACCGACGTGTTAGCACTGGTTGTGTTTGCTTGATGTCGGGTGATTAATTGTCTTTTATGCCATTATCATATCTTTTCCGTTTTCTTAAGTGAGAATTTTTGGGGGCACTGAAAACCACATAAAATCTCAAAAGGAAAGAATCAGAAGAATGAGAGGGGGCAGAGAGCTGTGAGGGGCTCCTTGTGCTGAGCACCTGGGTGGTGGTTCCCCTTTGACAAGTGTTTTGCTGAACTGAGAATCCAAAAGAAAGGGGTGGCAAAGAGGTAGCACTGGAAAGGTGTCCCAGCTGGGCCAGGCAGGGGTCCACATTGTTAGGAGGTTGCCCCGCCGCTGTCTGTGGAGACGCAGAGCTGGGGGGTGTGCCTTATTTATGGGCTCTCCTTCTCCTGGCATGTCTCTGGGTACAAGTGGGCACTCAAACAGTGTTTGTTGACTTCAGGATCAATGGGCACAGACTGTGGCAAATTCCATTGGCCATGTTATGGAATACTTACATTATTCTTTTAGGGTATTACCTTTGGGTTTTGAGGGGGAAAAATGTGTTCTTCATTTCAATTAGATTTGAATGAAATATCCATGGGCATTACTACTCATCACCAAGTGACCTCCCCATCTCAAATTCCTGAACCTCTTTATAAAAAATCAAAGCTACAACTATTATGGCTAGCTTATGCTTCAGAGTTCTGGAATCTTGTCTATAGAATTCTGTAGCACACCTTTAATTACCCTTGGAGTAGCTAACTTTAATTAAAGTATGTGTCTCTGAACCTGCTGCTGATAGGAGAGGTTGCCGAGTGGGTCAGGCTGCCATTAAAGATCATTAAACCATTTCCCTCCTGACATGGTACTGACTGGAGATTTCTTTTTTTATATGCCTACAACAACTTCACTCTCCTCTTTGTTATCTATTCAGTACGATATTATCTAGGATCAAAACTCTATAATGCTGTTGCTTATATATCTTCGAATATAACCACAGTTTGAAAGGCCCAGCCGAGCACAATCTCTTATTGTAAGCTTTTCTATGCGAAACGGTTCTCCTTTTGAAAATGTGTATGTACTCCAGTGTGGTTCCAACATTTATTTCAACCTTCACTATATTGAGGCTTCAAAAAAGAAGGAAGGAAAGCAACCTATTTATTGCAGGCAGGCCTTGGGTCACTGACCACAGCATGAAAAGGAGTCAGATCAGAGAGGTGTTGTGAAAACCATCTGGTGCAGACGTGGAGAACTGATGATTTCACCAGGTGATGCGGTAGCGGCGAGACCAGTGGATTCCATGAACTTGAGTCCACGGTGAAACTTTTCTTGCCATGAAATGAGTTTCTTGGTCAGTCACGACTCAGTGGGGGGGACCATGACAGTGGATTCACTACTCGGTAAGTGATGGATAATTGTGCAGGCAGGAGTGTTCCAGGCAGATGTGGCAAATCTAAACGTGTCTGTTCCAGGGGGGAATCACTACCCCCTCCATGGCCAAAGGGTCTAGTGTAATCCCTCTGCCGCCAGGGGCTGGGTTGGTTTCTTCCCCCTACATCCAGAGCAGGGCTCAGTGTTGGGCTCTGCTATTGGGAAGCTAGGCCTTCATCTGTGGTCACAGATGAGGCCTGCAAAACGGAAGTCTGTGAGGTCCGTTTTGTACAAGGGCTCACTGAATAAACCCTGGGGGAGAGGCTGCCTGATCTTGCCAGGGGTCGTCTTGTCCACTTCTTTACTGAGAACTTCCACGTGGATATTCAAGTATCATCACACTGTGCTCCTCGAAGAGGTCCATTGCCCACATACCGCTTTCCCAGACCTCCCTGCCGTTGGTCTCGTTCTTTCCCGTCCTGCCGTACTTTTAGCTACTGCCCATGAATGTTGTAGGTCCATTCTCCAGGCATCTCTCAGTCCAGACAACGTGGAAATCAATCGACTGCTTGAAGTCCTGCCCCTCGCTGCTGTCCCTCAGAGCCACCCGAGTGGGGCGGTGACGCCACAGCTGCCCACTTCGGTTGGTGTTAATGAAATCTCGTGGAACCCTCCACAGATCGGGCCTGTGGTTTTCCTTACGTGGTTTGATCGCCAGGAAGTTCCTATGAGGACACAGGTGTGGACTGACGGGGAGGAGAGAAAGCAGCAGGCACGAGAGACGAAGCCGTGTGAGTCCCCTGCCCAGCTGCTTGAGGCTGGCTTTGCATAGACCACTTTCACGTGCCCGCAGGTGCCCGCTGCAGCCACCCAGCCTGACAAGAGGCTCACGGCCAGGCTCTGGTCACACGGCCCCTCGGTGTTCCACGGCCAGGCACGGAGCCTCGCAGCAGCATGAGCTACGTCCCAGGAGAAGAGTTATCTGTGGAGGGGGCGTGGCTCCATTTTAACACCCTTAGCAGCCTTCCAAGTGCTTCGTCTACAGCTTTCAGAGGCCCTATCAGCACCTCTGTTTGCTGTGGACGCTTTGACATCATTGGCTTTGTCGGGTCACGCACACGCCAAGGGACAGTGCAGCTTGTGCTGCCCCCAGCAGTTGCTAGAGTCTTCTCTCGCTCGGGGCCTCACTCGGAACTGGCCGCCGTACACTTTGCTTAGGATAGGGCCGAGAGCAGCATACTCTGTGTCTGTGTGTCACCTTCAAAATCCAAGAAAGCCCCCCAAGCTGCGAGCCTCTTTGTATTTAAAGGCTAAATGGCGATGATGATTATAATAATGACAGCGACGATGAACCAACAGCCCTGGACTGGCTAGGACATCCATTACAGAGAGCAGGCTGGGCCCTGTAGCGGGCCCGAGGCTGCAGCCGGAGAGGCAGTGTGCTAACTGTCTCATTCTCGGCCGGGGAAGGCGCTGGTGGGCTGATGGAGGGGCACTGCCTAGGGCACAGATGTTTGCCCTTGGAACGCTAGGCTTGAAATACAGTGGGAGCTGGTTCAGAATTAGACTTTTTATCACTCATTTGAAAAGCCCCCTTCATTTGGGAGTTTACTATTTCTATACATTTTATTTATTCTTTAAGATGGTTATCATGCTTCCGTGTCTTCCTTTAGCTTATCGAGGGCTATCATTTGGGCCACTGTCTTTTCTATTTAAATGTAGAATGAATCTCTGAGTTTCAAAGTCACTTGGTAGGCATTTGGGTCATCTTATTTGGCATAGAGTAGTTGGCATTGTCTCTGGCATTTGTGGCAGGACGTGATGGAATTTAGCAAGAGTTTTTTTGTGTGTGTGTGTGTTTTATTTATTATTATTTATTTTTATTTTTATTTATTTTTTATCCTCACCTGAGGACATTTTCGTTCAGGTAGAGTGGGAGGGAGAGAGAGGAAGAGAGAGAGAGAAACATCGATGTGCAAGGGACACATCAAGTGGCTGCCACCTGCACGACCGACCAGGGACGGGGACAAACTGCAACCAAGGTACATGCCCTTAGCGGGAACCGAACCCGGGTCTCTCGGGACCGCAGGCTGGTGCTCTAACCGCTGAGCCAAACCGGCCAGGGCTATTTTGTTTTTTTAATAGCCTGCTCTCAAACCAGTCAACAAATAAATGTCACCAACCCATGAGTAACTGAATGGAGGCAGAGGCAGAGACAGCTGGGTGCAAAGGGACTTGTCACTCACATTTCTCCTGAGCCCAGACCGTCTTCTCCAGCCAGGCTTTTGCTGGTCAGCCCTACTGAACAGATGCCCTGTAGCATGGGTCCATGACACAGAACCTCCTCCGCCCCCAAATCCATACTTCCATTAGTCACCTGAATCTGAATGAACAGACTGAAAAGCTTAGATCAGATTTAAATTCAGTTCACTGCAAAACAAGACAGCTGTCCTGCGGTCACAGCATGGCTCTAGACCAGGAAGATCAAATATAAGTTTTGTGCCTTCTACAGGATGTACTAGAAAACGAGAGCGTGTTTGAAGAGTTTGGGGATGGTTCTGAAGCATCTAGATGGGCACCGGTGTTGAGCGAGTTCCTTCCTGCAGGGTTCAGCACTTTCTCTGGCTCTTGAAGGCCAATCTGTGGACATTGTTATTCCCAATTAGTACCATCCCTTCCCTAAAAGCATTGCTAAATTAAGAAAAAGGGAGGCATCGCGAATTTTATTTTATTTTTTTCCTGTGTGGGGTGTTTGATCTTGAGCCTGCAGGGAGCAAGCTGGCCCCGGATTTCTCTAAGACCATGTTTCTTTATCTCCAGTTCTTGCATGTCCAAAGACAGAACCACCCACACGTCTTTGTAGGAGAAGTGTGAATTTTAATAATTTGCAGCTCTGTGGTTGGAAAGAAAAAGGGCAGATGTAGGTCACACGTGCCAGGAGATGCTCAGGCCTTTCCATCAAACACGCGCGGAATGATTTTCAAAGAAGGCAGTGCATCGTTTCTAAGTATTCATTCTTCCCATTCTGTGACTTGTGAGAGCTTTATTATTATTTTTTTTTTACTCTATGGAACACATTTCTAGAACGTAGAGGTGATGGATCATTGGGAGCTGCCAGGACGCCATGGTGATCACTGCTGATAACCTGTAAGTTATAAATGTGAACGTCCGAGTTGTCTCTTAGTTGCTTGTTTGTTAGCGGGAAGACATGCTTAGGACAGTGAACTTAAGAGGTTTTGTTCTTGGCAGTGCCTGGACCTCAGTTGAGAGTATCATGTGACTAGGATAGAGCGTCTTCTATAGTGTAGAAAGGACGACTCTCCCACTATGAAGATTGAGCTGTGAGGCCTAAAAGGATGAAACATAGGGTGTAAAGAAAAGAAAGCCTGCCCCGGCCGGTTTGGCTCAGCAGTTAGCGCGTCGGCCCACGGACCAAGGAGTCGCAGGTTTGATTCTGGTCAAGGGCACGTACCTCAGTTGCAGTTCATCCCCGGCCTTGGTCGGGGTCGTGTAGGAGGCAACCAGTTGATGTGTCCCTCTCACATCAATGTTGCTCTTTCTCTCCCTCCCACTCTATCTGAAGATAAATAGAAAAATATCGCCAGGTGAAGATTAAAAGAATAAAAGAACCCTGGCTGGTTTGGCTCAGCAGTTAGAGCGTCGGCTTGCGGTCCAGAGAGACCCGGGTTCAGTTCCTGCTAAGGGCATGTACCTCGGTTGCAGTTTGTCCCCAGCCCTGGTTGGGTCATGCAGAAGGCAGCCACTCGATGTGTGCCTTTTACATCAGTGTTTCTCTCTTTCTCACTCTTTCTTTCTCTCCCACTCTATCTGAACAAAAAATGGAAAAATGTCCCCGGATGAGGCTAAAAAAAAAAAAGAATAAAAGAAAGCCTGGCCCTTTGATTCAAGAAGTGTGGAGAAGAGAAGAGGAGAGACACAGCGACAGGGAGACGGCAAAGGTCCGGAGTGTGTGGCCTCACTCCCCTCTTGGAGTAGGACGTCAGGTGGTGTGCGTGTGTGCCTTGCGGTGGGCAGAGCAGAACATTCAGCAGCAGGGACGGGGCCTCGGCATGGTGGGGGAGACTAGTTTTGGGGGAAGCTGCAGTCCTCTCTAGGCAAGCCTGTGTAAACATCCGCTGTGGCCCAGCAACGACTGTGGAGCCCTGGGTGGGGAACTGTCTGTGAAGTTGGGCCCCACAGACTGTGCATGGAATGCAGGGGGCCAGGGATCCCCCTATGTCCTGGTGAGAAAATGTTGAACAGCTGTGTGGACAGCTAGAACTGCTGAAGCCTAGGGTCCAGGAGGGGAGGTTGACAAAAACAAGGGCCTTGATGATGAGAGGTCTCAGCGGGGTCACGGTCAACAACTGGGTGTGCCATTTATGACAAAGGATGAAGAAGGGCGGTTACTCCTTGGTAGACATGGTCCAGACACCAGCCCAGCCCTGGTGGCAGGGCCCGGCTGACGGGCTCCGTGTGTGCTGGTCATCCTGCGTTGATTGCCGTGAGAGCGTAAAGCCTGCCCTTAGTGCCAGATGCCATCCTGGGAGGAGGAGGGAGAGGGAGGAAGGGCCTCACTGGGGCGTTGGACTTTGAACTGCCTGAACGTTTTCCAGGAGGGAAGCCTTTTAATCAGAGACTAAATGGGCAGGGTTGAGTCATTTCCCTCTGCTTTCTTCTCTTAGAGCTCTCACGTGGCCCACACCGTGGCTCCCACGTACCTGCCTCTGTCCCTGTTCGCCGCGACACCTTCCCCACTGCTACCTGAGTGACCCCAGGAAAGCACAGCTGCTGTGCCTCCAGTTGCTCACCTGTTTAGGTCCCTGCAGTGGCCCCCAGGGCCCTCAGGTGAAGTCCAAGCTCTTTAACGTGGCTTCATAGCCTCTCTCCACAACCCTGCAGCAGCTGTGCTGAGTGGTAAGTACATCTGGAGGGATGCCTGTCTGCAGTCTTCCCTCAGCCTGGACACCTGGCCAGCCTTGCCCCTCCTTCGGGCCCTGGCCCAGGCTTCGCCGGCTCCCGGGAACCTCCCCATCTCTCCTCGGTGCAGTGGCTCACAGCCATTCTTTCGGTTGCCCTTGGCACACTGTGCCTGACTGTCCTTTATTGCAAGCTGTCCCAGCCTCTACTCGGTGAGGGTGTGCCTGACTAGGAGAACCCGCTGAGGTTGGCGTACTAAAAACCCAGGGTCTGCAGCTGCTCTTTGCTTATACTGTAATTGTGGTGTTTACATATAAACTGATAATTCCAAGTTAGTACCTGATAATGATTTGCTGTCTCTGGAAGGTAAATAGTCTCCTTTTCTCATCTACTATTAGTTGTCTTAATCCCTTTTATTTTGAGAACAAATGGAACAGTAAATTTTAGCCTACCATGTTTGATCACAAATTCAGAATCAATGAAGTTTGAATTAGTGAGTTTTATTAATGTATATATTTTTTCATAGTTTTATGATCTCCCTTATAATTATGTGGTCTAGTTTCAAATACAGCCAACTGCCAACTCTTATCTTGAGGCACTTTTATTGCAGATAGAAGAAATGTATCTGACTTTTATACCTTGGAGCAAAAAGCATCGTTATCCAGGTGAAACTGAAGAGGAAATTCTCAGTAGGCTGAAGCATGTATTTTTATCGAGTGTTCATTAGGCTGTCCTCTGTGCGGGGGATCAGCGTGAAATCACCCAAAGGACGGGAAGCAGACAGGGAGGCCTCACAGGGCTCCCGCTGTGTCCAGAGCCGCAGACACAAAAGCGGGGGATTAGAGGCATGTTTCTAATTCAAGATGGCAGAGAAATGCACTGGGCTCTAATGCAGATACTGGGCTTTTGTTTCTTGTAAGTAAGCCATTGCAGAGAAAGCCAGAAAAATGTAGTCAAGGTTTATAAAGCAGGTCATTTCTTTGCCTATAATGTATAATTGGTGTATGTGTGTATATTTGTCAGAGTTCTCGAGGAAAACAAAATCAATAGGATGTGTGTGTGTATAAATACATATTTACATATAAAATAAAGATATTTATTATAAGGAATTGGCTCACATGATTCTGTAGGCTGACAGATCCCAAGATCTTCAGCTGGAGAACCAGGAGAGCCAGTGGTATAGGTCTAGTCCAAAGGCAAGCAAGCTTGAGACCCAGGAAAAGCTGATGTTTTAGTTTAGTCCAGAGGCAGGAAAACACCGATATCCTAATTTGAACATAGCAGACAGAAAGAATTCTCTTTTATTTGGGGGAGGGTCAGACTTTTGGTTCTATTCTGGCCTTCAACTGATTGGATGAGGCCCACCCACATTAGGTAGAGCAATCTGCTTTATTCAGTCTACCGGTTCATATGTTCATCTCATCCAGAAACCCTCACAGCCACACCCAGAACAATGTTTGGCCAAATATCTGGGCACCCCGTGGTACAGTCAGGCGAAACTTAAAATAAACCATCACAGTGTCTGTGAGTGATCTCAGAGTTCGGAGTCTCTGTAGTGATTCCAGTCCCTCATGCCTCCATGCACAGTGACATCAGTGAAGGCCCCCTGTGAACTCTGCTGGGCAAGCCTGGGTGTATCCAGAGGAAGAGAGCAAGAGTCTGACATGCTTCTTAGCTTTCTGTTTAGACCAGAGCTTCTCAGTCTTGGCACTATTGACATTTTGGACCAGATAATTCTTTGTTGTGTATCATGGGACACTTAGTGGCCTCTGACCTCTACCCAGTGGCATGTTCCTAGTTGTGACAACTAGAAACTTCTCCAGACATTGCTGAATGTCCCCTGGGAGGCAATATAGCCCTTGGTTGAGAAACCCTGGTTCTGACCCCCACTCTCTTGGCCATCCCCCACCGCCTTGCTGACTCCCTTCACTTTATGCTTAGGGTGTGTTTGGATGCCCATCTAATACCATTTGAAACCATCTCCCAAGACCTGCTGCCACCAGACTCTGCCAGCAGAGGCCACAGAAGCATCTCCTCCACCCTAGCCATCCTTACTTCTGAAGAAATTTACAACGTGATCCAATAGGTAAGAAATGCCATCAGATCTCTACCAATTTTCAACTTCCAGACCTGTTCTCATTCACTAGAAATAAAATCATAGTGTCACTTCTGTTTAATGGGGGAGGAGGCTTTGCCTAAAATAGCATGAGCTTATAGCCTTCCTGAGGTATCAGGAGGGTCAGTGGTTCAGATGGAGGTCACAGGGCCTGCAGGAGACCGCTGGTGCCTGGCAGTCTCAAGGTGATGGCATCCACACTATGGGAAGCCGTGTTTTTGTTTACCAGGAATGTCTTAATTTCGTCTTCATTTTTGAAGGATAACTCCTCTGGATATAGACGTCTTAAATGATGGTTCTTTCCTTGTTTCTTTGAATATGTCATCCCACTGCCTTCTGGCCTCCATGATTCCTGATGAGAAGTCAGCAGTTGATCTTATTGGGATCCCTTGTATGCAATATTTTCTCTTGTTTTCAGAATTCTCCTGCCTTTTCTTTGACCTTTGACAGTTTGACTGTGATTGGTCTAGATGTGCATCTATTTAAATTTATCGCACCTGGAGTTTGCTGAGCTTCGTGGATGAGCACATTAATGCTTTCCATCAAATTTGGGAAGTTATGCACCATAATTTATTCAGATGTTTTTCTGTTCCTGATTCTCACTCCAGTTTTTCTAGTGTGCTTGGTGGTATTCCAGAAATCTCTGAGGCTCTCTTTATTTTTTTTCCCTTTGTACCTCAGACTGGATAATCTCAATATTAAACAATCTCAAAATTTATCTTCAAGTTACCTGATTCTTTCTTGTGCCAATTCAGATACGCTGTTGAGTCTTCCTAGTGATTTTTGTTTTCATTTCAGTTATTGTACTTTTAAACCCTAGCATTTCTACTTG